ATGATCGGGTAACTGGATTTGTAAACTATGCAAGAAATCATATCTCATATAATAAATGCATACTTAATCCATGTATGTGTTTAAAATTGCTCCTAAATTTAAAGCACGGAGTGAGTCTAAAACAGGGCAGAGGAATCCAAGAACACTCTCGTGACCGCATGTGCTGAGGAGCAGCAGAGGTGGGTGATTACAGGAGCACTAACCTGCAAACACCTTGAGAGATCTCCTTCAGATGCGTCTTAAGTTCTTAAATGACGGAACGTGCCTGCATTTTTCAAATGCATTCACAGGTAAAAATACTAGCTTTATGTTGAGTGTCAATTCTTTATTCATCCGTCACAGAATACATACAGGTATACGGAAGTAACTAGATGCCCAATACGTTCCAGGGGCCCAGGATTTCAATCCAAAGCAAACCTGGGTAATGTGACGGTAGATCAAGGGTGCCTGAGACCGCAGCCACACACACCCAGAGGGTTAACTGGAGGAGAGGAAAGAGAGAAGCTCCTCTGTGCGGTGTGTGAGTGACAGGAAGAAGGGGGCACAGCGAGCAGGCAAGCAGGCGCCCCCGTCCCCACACCGAACGCGCTCCCTGTGGGGGTCCCAGCGGGAAAACTGCAGCGCGGCCCTGGCCTGCACCTTGCCCACCCAGCCAGCAGCTCTTCTTGCATCTGCTTATTTATTGCCCAGAAGTCATCCAGCATGTCGAAGGGGCGATTATCGACAATTTGTCAGCCTGAATTTGTTGCTGGCAATCACTTTTTTGTGAAGTTTCCCTCTCAGGCACTTGAGTTTTGGGATTAGAAAACTGGGGATGGGGGAGCATTATCCTGTGGCCTGCTTTTCATTTAGACACAACCAGGCAGACAGAAGGAAACGGAGCATTCATCTGACTGCAGTCACCCCAAAGCACAGGCCATTTGGATCCAGAAACTGGTTCCTCCTACAAACTCTCCCGCTCTCCCTGGGGCCATTCACAGGCCTTGTCTAGACTGTGGCTTCGCTTTCCCTGGTGAGTGACGATGTGTAAGAAGTAGGGGCCTCCACATTCTGCCCAACCACCCCCTCATCCTTCACAAACGTTCATGTCTTGGGCCTGCAATTTACTTGGGCAAACTGGGACTGAGACTCTGAAGTCACAAGTTTTTTGTTTTGTTTTGTTTGCTTTTAGGTTTTTGTTTGTTTGTTTTCTTTTGTTTTGAGACAGAGTCTCGCTCTGTTGCCCAGGCTGGAGCTCAGTGCCATGATCTCGGCCCACTGCAACCTCCGCCTCCCAGGTTAAAGCAATTCTCTACCTCTGCCTCCCGAGTAGCTGGGATTACAGGTGTGTGACACCAATGCCCTGCTAATTTTTATGTTTTTTTAGTGGAGACAGGGTTTCACCTTCTTGGCCAGGCTGATCTTGAACTCCTGACCTCATGATCCAAAGTGCTGGGATTACAGGCATGAGCCCCCGCTCCCAGCCTGCTTTTAGTTTTCTGTTTGCGGATGCAGGTCCTGAATCAGCGCCCCCCAAGGTGAAACGTTTTCCCTTTTGTCCCTCCTCTTCCCTTCCTCTCCTTGTGGGTGGGGGAAGATGGTGGTCAAAAAGCAGGCCTGTGCCTTGGATAGGGCAGCTGGGGCGGGTGCTTCAGAGCCGCTGCTATGTCTCACTCTTATCTTCTGACAATCATTAAAATTCAGTTTCAAAGATTCTGTCTTTAGCCTATGAAGGAGGCCAAAAGGGTGGGCCTCCTTTCCGGTGGCAGCGGTTTGGCAGTGAGTAGGCCCTGGTCAGATTGCCCCAGACTCTGCCCTTCTCACAGTAGTCCTGTGGGGAGGGTCTAGAATGGACACTGCAGGAACAGCTCTGGAAAACCTTTAAGGTGGGCCAAGAAGTGGGCAGGGCCCGTAGCTCTGAATCAGCGTGGCCCCTTGCGCACGGCCTTTCTAGTCCTGGGTGGAGCCCAAGTACAAACCAAGGGGAAAGTTCTCATACTTTAATCCCATAATTCCCCACTTGCTTTTTTTTTTTTTTTTTTTTTTTTNTTTTTTGAGATGGAGTCTCGCTCTGTCGCCCAGGCTGTGCAGTGGCATGATCTTGGCTCACTGCAGCCTCCGCCTCCTGGGTTCAAACGATTCTCCTGCCTCAGCCGCCTGAGTAGCTGGGACTCCAGGCATTGGCCACCGCACTCAGCTAATTTTTGTATTTTTAGTGGAGATGGGGTTTCACCATGTTGGCCAGGATGGTCTTGACCTCCTGACCTCATGATCTGCCCACCTCAGCTTCCCAAAATGTTGGGATTACAAGCATTATCCACCGCGCTGCCAAGCAATTCCTCACTTTCTTTTTTCTGCTCAGCTCTCCAACTTATCAACCTTGATTCTAAAAAGAAAAATAGAATCAGTGTAGTGGCTCATGCCTGTAATCGCATACATTTGGGAGGCAGAGACAGGTGGATCACTTGAGGTCAGGAGTTCAAGACCAGCCTGACCAACATGGTGAAACCCTATCTCTACTAAAAATACAAAAATTAGCTGGGCGTGATGGCATGTGCCTGTAATCCCAGCTACTCAGGAGGCCAAGGCAAGAGAATCACTTGAACCCGGGAGATGGAGGTTACAGTGAGCCAAGATCGTGCCACTGCACTCCAGCCTGGGCGACAGAGTGAGACTCTGTCTAAATAACAAGAAAGACATTTGTATATCTGAAAGTTCCCTTCTACCAAGAAGCTTCCCTTAACACCTCTTTTTCCTTTGGTTGGAGAAGTCTTCCACTGATCCAAGGCAAGACAACTAAAATGTTTTGAGAAATGGAAAAGTACAGCCTAGGTAGCTGAGCCTCATCCGCACATTCTGAGGGGTGCCAAGCAAATGCTCTTCAGACCCCCCCTCAGAGGAGTTCTTCATTCCCTGCTCCCAAAATTTAACATGTGATTAGTACCAAAATATGCCTCCTTTAACTAATACCCTCTTGAACCTATGGAAAGGAAACGGCATTTCTCTGAAATCCCAAGTGGGAGTTAAGGACTACCTGACTGCCCTTGCCTTCACCTGTTAATCACATGTAACTGTCTTTCTGAACACCCACCTCCTTCCCTGGATAGTCACCGATTGGTCCACGGCATGCCTAATACTTTTCCTTCTCTTCTCAGATTCTCATCCCCTACCTTTCTCTCCCTTGGGGCCCCCTAGCAAATTTTTTATAATTAAATCGTGATCTTTCTCCGAATGCCATGACAAGTGAGAAAGGGAACTCCGAGACAGCACTAGAAATGCACTAATAAGAGCATACTATTACAAGGCGGGGCTCAGTGGCTCAGGCGGGTAATCCCAGCACTTTGGGAGACCGAGGCGGGTGGAGCACTTGGGGACGAGAGTTCGAGACCAACCTGGCCAACATGGAGAAGCCCTGTCTCTACTACAAAT